ACTCAGCGCCAACGCCAATTTTAAGCTTCCGCTGTTGGTGTAAACGTTGAGCCCTTGACAGTGAACATGCTGTAGAGTATCGTGAACAAGCAGTTGGAGCCGATTCGCAAGGACACCACCGCGATCAAGGCCCACGGCGTATCCCAAACAGACTTGCATGAGGACATGCAGCCGCTTGAGCAAGAGATCGGAGACTTGACGAAGCGCGTTGGACTCCTGGTCTAATTACACGTTTCGCCCTGTTTCGGCACGATCGGTATCCGGAGCATCTATCGATACCACTGCTCAGGTTCAGCTAGCAGAGCTTGATCGTGATGTTGCCCGTCTACGTGAACCTGGTCAAACATCTAAGCCTGGACGGCACTCTACAGCGACCATCCCCACCAACACGAACGACAAGAGTTTTTCCGCAATGATCGGCAACCTCGATGGTTTCGGTTCCATCGACGCCGCCTCCGACTGGTTGAAAGCGGCGTTGGAAAAGCTGGGAGCCCCAAAATGGACACATCTATACGACAAGGGCGATTTCCAAAACATCATGTTCTGCGAGTTCGATGGCCAGGATACCCAGGATACATCTGTTATCCAGATCAAGACAGCCAGACTTCAGAAGAATGGGAACACAATTTGGGCTACCCCTGATCGCCCACCTCTGGTCCGAGCTGCCCAGAAGCTGTGTTTTGGACTCACATGTTTTCGGAAGAACACGATGGGGATGCTGTTCACCACCCGCGCTTCAGACCAAAAGCTATTCCCAGTGGAGATGGGAGGGGAGCTCGCACTTACAGTAGTCGTGGACGGGAACACCATCAAAGAGGAGTGGCATAATGATTGGGACAAGTGGGAGGATTTGCACGGTCACCCCGAGTTCAAAGCAATAGATGAAGCTTGCGAGGGAAATGTACAGCGGAGCATGATAGGGATGAAAGGAGGAACCAAGGGCAGCCCCAGAGGTACGCCAACGAACAAAAATTCGGCAAATACTGATTCCTGGCAACACTGGAGCCGACCGAACCTCAACAGATGTCCCGGGAAACGTCGCATAAACACCATCCCCTTCCATGACAATCTTCAGTGGTACTTCTACTGTGGACGACGCGACGGATGAAGACAACGTATTTCATCATCCGCCGTCTCTGCCTTCATGTACACACGATGCCGCTGCAATACCAAAACCTTTCTCTGCCGACCAAAGGGGCATGGGCAAAGATATCACCACTGGAATTAGCACTTTTATTACTTTTTCGGGCTGTGGCCAAATTACCTACCATCCCGATTCTGTCACCGTCCGCTGCTCCAACAACACCCCATGAGCACGAAGGGCATGACAACCGGATATCCCCGCAGACTGCTGGCGACAGTCTCAAGCCAACAAATATAGGTACAGTGGGCAGTATTATTTATGCATGCAAAAGAAAAATGCTTCAAAATCACAGCATCTTGTCCGAGATGGATACTTGGTGACTTTGCCCGGGACGTTGTTCAAATCTGGGTATCTCTTATTCGGGCGTGTGGTTCATGATCGCACCAAGTGCAGTTCATTCGGTGATCACCTTGAAGCTGCCTGGAGACTGGCTAACAACTTTGATAATCAAAATGAAAGGTGGAATATTGAACCTTATGACCGTGTACGCGCCTCACGCTGGGAGAGATTACGAGGTGTGGAAAACCTTATTTGACAAAGTGGCGAAAGTATGTAGCCAATACCGCAACCACAACTGCACAATCGCCGTGGGGGATTTCAACGCCAGACTGGGAGAGAAACTACCTGAAGAAAAAAATGATATGGGAAAACGCGTCATGAAAATGAAGCCTAACTCCAACAAGGCAACGCTGATCAAAACATACAAGGAAACGCGAGCGATCATAGCTAACACGTGTTTCTCCAATCCGCGTGAAAGTTTAGTCACTCAATGAGGCCCTGCTCCCAGGATAGGACCACTCAGCGACGTAACGAATCCAGCTTTTACAACATTTGATTATTGCTTGATTGATTCCGATGCCAGATCTATGATTGCAGATATCTGGACCGACAGACGAACAGCCTTGCGGACGCGCCACTTTTTGATGAAGATCTCGCTGCAGGTCGAATTTGGGAAACAGAAAGCGACGTTGCCACGTCAACGATGTTACAGTTGGAGACAATGAGGAGGTCGCCGGGCACTGACCGGGAGAATTGCGATGCGTTCTCAGCAACTCTTCAATGCGATGTCGGGTCGTTGATTTTGGACGAGCACGCGGAAGCATTAGCAGAAGCAATGCGCACAACAGCCAAAGTTGCAGACGCCCCCGAAGGCCGACTGAAACACTGGATACCCCCTGGCACGAAGGATTTGTTCAATCAGAGGGACAGCGCACGACAATCTGGAGATACAGTGTATGAGCAACTGCTGAGCACATCGATCAAGAAAGTGGTGCGGCGAGGCAAACGAGAACGATTAGACGCACAATTGCAGGGGAGATCATGGCCAACCGCAAAAGCATTGCAAAAGACGACGCCTAGTAAAACACCTCTTGCGATCAACAACACTGCCAGGGAGCCAGTGAAGAGCGATCAGCGAGCGGATCTGTTGCCAGACTATTTTGAGAAAATACAACAGGATGCGAAATACGCAGATGTACCACCAGCAGATGAGAATCCGCTGGGAACGCCTCTGCCTATTGCTACACACGCCTTCACCATAGACGAGCTTACGGTAGCGTTGAAGAACCTTGCGGTTGAAAAGACCGCAGGACACGATGGGATAGAACCAGAAATCTGGAAACTATAGCAGCGCGTGAAAGTCTGCCACAAATGGTGGGAACACTTTTTTGTTCGCGAGCGCGCAGGGATGCCAGGCACCGTCAAGAAACGCGGTCAACAAGCAACGGCCTAAATTCCGCAAGTGGTGGTAGCGCACGAGCATACCAGAAACACGGCGGCTTGCATCAATGGTGCTATTATTTGAAAGGGGGGCGCACCTTTACTATATAACTACCGGGCAATCTCTCTCCTACCTATGAGATACAAGGTGGGGGGCTTCGAGGATCCAAACACGCTTGCAGCCTGGAGGAGCAGAACAACGAATACGACCAACGCAATTTGGATTCAGGCCGCGACGCAGTACAATAGATGCAATCACGATCGCCCGCCGCATGTTCGACGCTTTGGAATGCTCGACAGAACATGAGCTTGTGGCTGTTTTGCTCAACTGGGCTAAAGCGTTCGACAGGATAAAGCACGACGCGATGATCAAAGCTATAGCGCGAGCTGGCATTCCAAAGCCACTTCTTGATCTTATGGCTGCATTAGATCGAACCCCTCAGGCAGCAGCGAGCAGGAATAGCACAAGGATGCCGACTTTCCCCATACCTATTCATGATTGTTCAAACAATGTTATGTTTCAAATGTAGCCAAGCTGTGCACAGATCTGGTCATGAACTGTGTGAAGCCAAGGTGCGTTGTTTGTAACAACGTGTTGTACATGGGCGACACCATGCTCGTGAGTGCAAGTTCCGTGACAATCACGCATCTCTTGGACCTCACCATCTACGTGGGCAAACATTACGGGCTCGACTTGAATTGAAGTAAAACCGTGGTGCTGAAAATTAAAAACAACGATGGTACAGTGCTGAACTCTTCGTTGCAGCCAATCAGACCAGTACAACAAGCAGTGCATTTGGCAAGTACAACAAGCAGTGTAGTTGTTTGGGTGGGCTCTTGCACAGCAAAGCCGAAACGCAAACCAGAAGTTCCGAAAAGGTTGGGCGAAGCACGAATACTCCGAGCACTGCATTTCATCATCACAAATATGTGTTCAGTTGACGCTATAGCGGTGCCAAAATTATTGTACAATATGGAATCATCATGGTTGTTGCAGGCAGACCGGCAAAAGCTGAACAGCCTCCAGGCTTCGTGTCTCCGGCAAATATTGGGCACCCCGCATTCTTATTACTCCAGGGTGTCGAACGCCGCAGTTCTGTCTGCAGCGCGGGCGAATTGTCTGAGCGAGGCACTGCGCAAGAGGCAAACGCAATCCTTTGAGAAAGTATGTTCTCTGCCAGACAGCAGCTGTTTGAGGTGGTTGGTGTGTAAGCCTGGGGAAAAAAACACCAAAGCAGTGGGATGTGGTCCGGAGACGCGGCCGCCCCGAGCTGAAATTGACCCACTGCGTGTATCGATTAGTAAAATGCAACAAAGCTAAGAAACGGCAGTCCATATTCCCCCTCCTCGTCGTCCTCGTTCCTTTCCTCTTCCGCCTCCTCCTCCTCCTCCTCCTCCTCCTCCTCCTCCTCTTCACAATCATGATGCACTCTTTTTGCTCCTGCTTCACAGTCGGGTGCTTTGCCTTGGTCTGTCGCATAATGTTCGCAAAGGTGCCAATTGCGCGCTCTTCCGCCCGTGCGTCCTGACCGGAAACCCGGCTCAGTGACAACAGTGGTGCCCAAGCGCCGTGCCCAGAGCTGGCGCACGGCTCCTGTACTACAAGCATCCCCTGCTCATGCCAGCACACGCGCTTCGCACCCTATGGAGGCTCTTCGGGCCGAAGTGCCTGCGGTGCAGCGTCGGGCGAGCATCGTTGACCATGGGACCGGAGGCGGAGCGGAGAGATGCACAGCACGGTGGGGGGGTTCAAGAAGAGCCCGAACCCACCTGCAGACTCGCAGATGGCCTGGATCCACTGCATCGAGGGAAACTAGCTCTACTGCAGCAAGCATCGTATGTTTCTGAGACGTTAGCGGGTAAAACACTTTACGAGTCGAGCGCGCTCAGAGAGCCCACGCCGACCCGTCGAGGGCGGTCGAGCCACCGCGAGCGGGCCCCCGGGGGATGATGATGATGATGATGATGATGATGATGATGCTGATGATGATGATGATGATGATGAGGAGGAGGAGGAGGAGGAGGAGGAGGAGGAGGAGGAGGAGGGAGGGAGGAGGAGGAGGAGGAGGAGGACGAGGAGAAGGACGAGGAGGAGGAGGGAGGCTGGAGGCAGAGGGCGAGGGGCGCCCAGCGCGTCCTTGTACAGCGGGAAGGCGAGCTGCAGCCACGCCACGGCCAGGCTCCAGAGGGCCACCGCGGCCGCCTGAAGAGTCTCGGCGGCGCGGTCCGTGCGCTCCCGCGCGAGGGACAGCACGTCCCTACCCTTGGCCAGCTCCTGCGGGCGGGGGCGCTTCTTCGCTCCCTTCCTCCCTCCTCCTCGTCCCTCCTCCTCATCCTCCTCCTCCTCCCCTCCTCCCCTCTTCCCCTCCCCCTCCTCCTCCTCCTCCTCCTCCCTCCTCCCCTCTCCCTCCTCCTCCTCCCTCCCTCCCTCTCCCTCCTCCCTCCTCCCTCCTCCCTCCTCCTCCTCCCTCCTCCCTCCTCCTCCTCAACCTCCTCCTCCTCCTCCTCCCTCCCCTCCCTCCCTCCCTCCCTCCTCCTCCCTCCCTCCTGCTCCCTCCTCCTCCTCCTCTTTCCTCTCTCCCTCCCTCCCTCCTTCCACCCAGTCCTAGCTGGACTGGGCTGGGGCGGGGCCACAGGGACCTCGAGGCCTCCAAAACGGGGTCCGAGCGGGTGGGGCGGGGGGATCGCGCCGCGTCGCCAATGCATCACCGATGCCTCGGCGATGTCCGCGACGCATCGGCGACGCCAGCGTGGAGGCGCGCGGATTCCCTATCGAGACGCACCGCTGATGCATCGGCGATGCTGCGCGATCCTCCGACCCGATGGACCTCAAGTCCGCGGGAGTCGCTGCGAAGCTGGGACTCATCTGAAACCGTGGCGTGGGGGCGTGTTCGGATGCCCCCGTCATCGTCCGGTGAGGTTTGGTCGGTGCTGCGGGGGCCGACCCTTCTGAGGAAAATCCTGAAGGTCTCGCGCGGCAACGTGCGGTCCGATGTACGTCGGATCCGCATCGGATGTACGTCGGGTTCCCGTCGGACCACGTCGGAATTACATCGGGTTTACGTAGGACTGACGCCACAGCATCGCCGCGCGAGCGTCGCTCGTAGCATACGGAGCTGACGTGCGGACAAGATAATGTAGCTGTTACGCGCCGCGCGAGACCTTCAGGATGTTCCTCATAACCCACCCTGCCCTCTGACCAGCTCAAAGGTGCGGCGACGGACCACAGGGGCCGCAGGAGTCGCTGAGCGGACCAAGCTTACACACAGATATCCACAACGCAGGGCTGGACCCAAACGTTGTGTTCCGTGTTGTATTCGTTTTCGTTTTGCTCGACCTGTTTTCCTGTACTCCCCTGCCAAAGCGAAACACAAAGCACAGCCGAAGTCCAGCAAACCAGCGTCTGGGTCTGTCCAGCCCTGGTGTGCGGGACCGACCTCTCAGGACCCTCGCGGGACGGTGGACGCGAGTGCGCCTGGGCCCCGGGGAAGCCGCAGCGGAACCACACCCCACTGCACCGACCTTGCAGACGTGCTGAAGCGGATTGTTGCTTGGATGTCTGCCAATGCAAAGCCCCGAAATGGCGACCGAAAAACAAGGTGAATTTCGCGTGGATGTTTTGCAGTCTTCATTCCTGGCCAGACAAAAACAGCACAAAATTCACTTCGAAATCCGGAGTGGGATTTTCCAGGACACTCCGGGCCCATCCGATTGTTTTCCGAACGAAATCCGCTCTGCGAGGTCGGCGCCATGACACACCCGCTGCCACTCGAGGTCCAAGGAGGTCGCTTCTCCGGGCGGTGGACATGCACGAGTTCCGGCCTTGAGGTCGCCCCGCTCCTCCCCCGTCCGGGCGCCTCAGGATGTGGGCGGGCCTGTCACGAAGACTGGAGCCCTTCCTCCTCCAGCTCCTCCTCTCCTCCTCCGACTCCGCCTCCTCCTCCTCCCTCTTCCTTTCCCTCCTCCTCCTCCTCCTCCCTCCTCCTCCCTTCTCCTCCTCCTCCTCCTCCTCCTCCTCCTCCTGCTCCGCCTCCTCCTTTCCCTCCTCCTCCTCCTCCTCCTCCTCCTCCTCCTCCTCCTCCTCCTCCTGCTCACCCGACTACTTACTCATCCCTATGCCTTCTCCACTTCCTCCCATCACGCTTCTCTCCCTCTCCCCCACTTCAGCGGGGGGAGAGGATGGAGGGATAGAGAGACGGATAAGCAAAGAGAAAGGTAAAGACACAGCACGAGAAAGAGGGAAAGAGACAGGGAGGGAGGGGGATAAAGAAAAAAAGGGTGAGAGGGAGAGAGAGAGGGGGAGTACGTAGCACTTCGCAGATGCGCATAAGAGTAAGGAGGCGGTGGGGACACCGGCAGTTTGCGCGACTCTGGGGAAGCTCGCCGCAGGCGCCGAAGTTTCACAAAATAGTCAACGAGCCCGCCGCAAACAAACGAATGTGGGTAGGTCGCGGGTGGGTCGCGGGTAATTCGCGGGTGGGTCACCGGTGGGTCGCGGGGTGGGTCGCGGGTGGGTCGCAAAAGGGTCGCGGGTGGGTCGCGGGTGGCTCGCGGATGGGTCGCGGGGTGGGTCACGGGTGGGTCGCGGGGTGGGTCGCAAAAGGGTCGCGGGTGGGTCGCGGGTGGGTCGCGGGTGGGTCGCGGGGTGGGTCGCGGGGTGGGTCGCAGGGTCAATCGCGGATGGGTCGCGGGGTGGGTCGCGGGTGGGTCGCGGGTGGATCGCGGGTGGGTCGCGGGGTGGGTCGCGGATGGGTCGCGGGTGGGTCGCGGGTGGGACGAAGACAACAAACAACAACAACAACAACAACAACAACAACAGCAACAACAACAACAACAGCAGCAACCGCAGCAACAACAACAACAACAACAACAACAACAACAACAATCACTTTACCCGAACGCTCAGTGTTCTCACCAGTGCCAGGGTTTTCATGCGACGCCAGCCAATACCCCCACTTTGTGGGGGGGCAGTGCAAGCTCTACCAAATATCCACACGACTCTTCGCCACCACCCACACCCAGCTTCCCGCCCTATGACGTTCGGACACTTCACTTCGTGGCCTGCGGACGACCGTGGCTACTACACTGGCGTGGAGTACACACCCACAGAAGTTGTTAAGCCTACGTTCGTACACCCACAGAAGTTGTTAAGCCTTGTTAACCCACAGAAGTTGTTAAGCCTTCCACAGAACATCTGTTGCATATGATGCATATGGTACATGATACACATGTTACACATGATACGTACTCACAAGATAGTTGATCACTTACAGGTCGAAAAAAAGTGGGTAGACATTTTGAAAAGTCGTGCAGGTGTTTTTCGAGGACCTACGGTGCGATTCGTGTGATTTTATGATGCGCGGTGCTAAAATTCTTAAGAAGCCCAATGGTTTTTGGAGATTTCGGCGTGCGCGCGCGAAGAAAAAACGAATGTGTCCCGCATGGTATTATTTGACAGGGATGATGGCCCTGGCAGGTGCGCAACCGTTGTCGCAGAAGTTCGAAAAAGTTGCTCGCAAAAGCCCGTTTGACAGAAATGTTTAAAAAGTGTTGGGTTTCCTACGAATCCGCAAGAGCGCGCGGGATGAGATTTTGACAATTTTTTGTTGAAAAACCATTGGTTTTTTGATGTTTTTATGTTAAAATCGCTGCGAACACTAAGGTTTTGGAAGGATTTCGTCTTGCGCGCGCGAATGTCCACTTTACCTTATTTTTTGCAAGGGATTCTTGAAATTTGATTATATTAGAACAAGAAATGTCATTTTCTATTGTTTTTTGCAAGGGAAAGCGGATTACAACAAAACAACCGGATCCTGTACACACCCTCTTTTCTGAGGCTTCCTCACGACAATGATGAAAATGTAGCTGCGGCCTAGGCGGCGCAGGGGGGGCGCGCACCAGGGGGCCCAACAATAATTATTCTTTAGAATAAATAATGTTCAACAACAACTACAACTACAACTACAACAACAACTACAACAACAGCAACAATAACAGCAACAGCAACATCAGCAGCAGCAACCACAACAAGTACAACAACAACACCAGCAACAACAACAATCACAACAACAACCACAACAACAACAACAATAGCAACAACAACGCAAAAAGCAGGCTCCTCACCACGGATGCCCACTTCAGCCACGCACCCAGGGACAATGAATGGGCATGTGCCCCCCTCACTCGGATAGATAGATGTATATATATAGATATATACATATGTATATATATACATATATAGATACACATACACGTATACAAATACATACACCTGCACATATGCAGAGACATAATCATATTCAAATACATGCACATATACCTATACATGTACAAAGACATACATGGACATATACCTATGCACATGCATATACATATACCTGTGCGTTTACACTTCTATACATATATAAACATATACACATACATGTGCACATACATAGACACATCTCAAAACCAATACGTGCGCATCTACAACCGTATACATAAACATATGCATATGCATGTAGACATGCATATACATATACACATGTTTGTACATGCATGCACTGACGTACATGGGGAAAACCCTATACATATATGCCTACATACAAACATACATACATTCATACATATACATAAACATAAGCATATACATACACATACACATACACATATACATATGCGCGCCCCCCCCTCTGAGATCTACCTTGAAGCCCTTTTCAAAGCAAAGAAGTACGAGGACACCATCGCTGTCCAAGTTTGCAGTAACAATTTACCTCCGCCAAAAGTTGGCACAGAACGTGGATCCCATCTCGGCCCAAAGGTCTTTGCCCCTGTGCCAGTAAAGCCACTGGGCGCTGCGAATTGGAGTGGCGGCCGTCTCAGAATTGGGCACCATTGTCTGGCCTCCCAAGGTTGAGCGGATGTATTTCCAAGCGCTGTCGATAACCTGGGAGCCGGCCTTGGTGCGCAACTTCCTACCACATGGAAGCTTATGAGTTGCCAAGCGCGCGTAGCACGGCTTCATCCACACCCACTTGCCATTCTTTTTCACTCTCTTTTTGCAGTGCCGCACTGAATCGCGCAACACTCCCTCAACTCGCATGGCGTAGCTCTTAGCGCGGTCCGTATGCAAAATAATGCGCCTACCTTTCAAGTAGCGGTTTGACAGAGGCGCCCAATCGACCTTCCTGATTGCGCCTGGCCCAGGAGCCCTCTTCACCGTGGGAGCCGCGGTAGTCTTCGCCAGCACCAGCGACTCGGGCCGGCCTCGCTCCACGATGCCCGCCCATTGCTCCCATTCCACGCTCTCGGGGTCGTCCGCCTTGGCTGCCCTTCCAAAGACTGCTTCATCTGCTTCAGCGTCCCTCCAGTCGCGGTCGTTGCCAACCCCGAAAACGATCGTCTTCTCTCGCTTCTTGACAAACTTCTCGCGCTGCTTCTTCACGGCAATCGAAATCCTTTCGATCGCCTTGTGGTTTGCGGAAGAGATCAATCTGCGAATCGTGGGATTGCTTCCTCCTGCTAGAATGCTGAACAAGATGGCCACCTGCTTCTTGAAAGGCGAATGCGTGGCCCCCCACCCAGTAGAGAAGACGGGGTGATGAGCATGTGGAACAGTGAACTTCTGACAGCCCTTGCGGTTGCACCTGTGCCGAAGGCCGCGGCCTTTCACCTTGCGAAGACAGCCGAGTCTACCTCTAGGTGCAGTGGGAATCAACGGCCACGCCCGCCAACCTCGCGACCCCTCATCCCCAAGCCCCCTCCCCCCGTCTGCAGCGAGCGTGTTTGCGTTGATTCCCAGCCGCCAAACCTTTGCAGCAGTGAAGACACATCTTGCCCTCCTTGTTGTCCAGGATGTTATCGCGGATGCACCGGCGGTAGAGCTTATCGTCAGGCATCTCCAAGATGGATTCAAGGTCGATGCTCCACTTGTCGCGGTCGCCCCTGCTCTTCGTCGTCGGCTTGCCGTGGCGCACGTACTTCGTGTTCCTGTATGCCTTAGACTTCGCTGACGCCTTTGCCGTTCGCCCCGACCAGGCTGCGGGCGGCGGCCCTTGCCCGCCCTTTCTTGGGCGTCGGGAAACTCGGAGCTTCGGCGGGCCGCCTCAAGCAACCTTGACCCGCAGGCTTCTTCACGCACGGCCGAGAGGAGCCAGCCATCAATTCCAACAAATCTGACTCGGCGTTGCCATCGACAGGCCCGTCTTCGGTAACTTGCAGCAGGCAAGCATGGCGTCGGCCCTCGTCCCATTGGGTAACCAGGTCGCACAAGGCCTCATCGCCAATCTGCATCACGAAGTCCTGGTGCGAGTCGAACACCAGCATCTGCTGCGAGTCCCCGTGGGCGCGAAGACCAACAGCGTGGCCGCGAGTTCCTGGCGCCCCAATGTGCAACAGGAAGAAGTGGGCGGCGTCGGCGCAGATCACGTCGCTCAGCTGCGCCTCTTGGAACGCCAGAGAAGGATAAATATGTTGCAACTGTCGGTAAGAATATGGTCCACAGGCGAACTTTGACTGGCTCGGCCCCCCCGCAACCAAATCCATATTGGCGAGCGCGCTCACAGCGCACATATTTTCTCCGGGGACAGCCTGGAGCTTCTGCTGCGACTTCTCGCAAGCTGCCGCCAGGAGAGAAGAGAAATCGTTGTGGTACGGCGGCGAAGGAGGGGCGCCACCCTGACCTCGGGACCCTTCTCCAGGCTCGGGAGCGGAACTCCTCCAGGGTATCTCCGCGCCGCTTAGGTCTTTCAGATGCAAGGATACGCCGTGCCCGGCTTCGACTGCAGTCACAAGTCCGATGAAGCCCTCGTCGTGCACGTCAAGCCCCATTGGCCTGAAGTAGATGCCGTCGTAGACCAGAGAAATTGGCACGGCCCCTGCTTCCTCTAAAATATGTTTCATGCTCATCATCACCCGGCACTCCAGCTCGCCCAGAAAGATGTGGAGCGAGCTGCATCCAGGCCTTGCTTTCGCAACTTCCTGATAAAGAGCGTCGTGCTCGAGAAGAAATCGACAGGCATTCGATACTTCTGTTTGCACGCAATCCAAATGCGGAAGCCAGTCAGGCCGCTGCGCTGGATCTGGCGATTGCCGCCCGTAGGGACTGGTCGCCGAGATGAGAAGCTTCTTGGCGACGTCCACCCCGACGTCGAAGTACCCAGAGACAAAACTCTTCCACCCGCCCCAGTTGCTGGCGATGTCGCACAGCAGTGGGAACTCTGCCTCGACGCAGATCTGCCCGTGCCGCTTTAAGGCCACAACCAACAAGCTGAAGAACGCAACCTTTATGTCAAGTTCTAAAACGCCTCCTGGAATCCCAGCCAGAGCGGCGCACCGAGCTTCCCTGGTTATCTTCTGCAGAGAAGGGCCCACTGTATGAAGTCGCCCATAACCTTGCTTCACGTACTTTCGAAGGAGACTCTTCAGTGGCCGCTGCTCGCCGTCTGCAGCGGCCTCCGTGGAGGCTGTTCCCCGATTGTCCAATAAGCGAGCATAGCCCTGAACCTGGACCTGTCGCCTGTCGGCTCCAGACTCGACGTGGCCAATCAAGGCGGCGATGTCCACGACGTCTGCAACCGAGCAGACCACGGAGCTGCCGATCTGGCGAAGCATCTGTTCGTCGTCAGACAAGAAATGGTCTGCGTCCCCAGGGCGAGCCCCCATGAGCCATCTTTCGCTGGGGGGCGCCGCCGGCGCAGGAATCTTGAAATCTCTGGAAAGCTGCAGCATCACGCCAGCCATGACTGGGAATAGTAGCGCGTAGCGCTGCTGCTTGCCGAAAAAGTTCACGTCGGTGTCTTCCTGGACCAAGTAATCGGCCAACGGCCCGCAACTTTTCGCCAGCGACACAAATTTCGCATACGCGGAAGCTCTTGGGACGTCGAGTCCACTGCATAACTCTTTCGCAACTTTCCAGTCCCCCACTTGTCTACCCCTGCCTTTCGATAACTTGCGCGCCTCTGCGGGCGTCTTCTTGCCTTCTTCCTGCCACAACTTTTTCAGGCAGCCAGCAAGCGTGTCCCAGTCGGTGTCGCTGCCGCCGGATCGCCCGTTGCCGGCCCCCGATGAGGAGTCCATGACGCACTTGGGCCTGGGCTCGCACTGCTGGTTGGTCAGGCGGCGGATGTACCAACGCGTCGACACCTTCATGTGGTCATCGAGATTTTCTGGTTCGAGCGTTCCCACAATGGCTGACGAGTCCCCGAGTTCATCCCAAGTTGGTTGTAGAATTTCTCTCAAATAAACATGGGCTGCAGCGGGGCATGCCAATATAGTCTCTAAAACATCCGATGCGATTTTCAGAAAGCGGCCATTTTCATGGTCCACGTCCTTGACATCAGTGACCAGTGTCGCAAGGCCCACAGCCGACGTCAAAAAACGACGATCCACAGACTCCGTGGGGGACTTCCTTGGTGCTGCCTCCTCTCCGTGCCCTTCCAGGTCCAGCGCTGCAAGGCTTCGGGGAACTGACATGATGGGGGCCACGTCGTCGTAGTTGCAGCTCTGCTGCTTCTTCATTCTGTTGAAGCGGACTTCGCTGGAGAATCCAAAGTTGGCCCTCACAATCAGCTCCTCGCCTGCAATGAAGCGTTTGAGCACGTCCACGTTAATCCGCATGTGAGACGATCCTGTTTTGGACTCCTTGATGCAAACCCGCTTCTTGTGTAGGCCGAAGTGAGCGCTCTTCCGCCACTCGTTGTCGTCAACAAATATGGACGGGTCGAGCGTCGCCGAGTTTTGCTTGCCGAAGAGCGACGACTCCAGGATGTCGAAAGCGCCCTTGCCATCGCCACCTTTAAGATGCAACTGCTGGGAGACTTCGTCGGAAGGATTAGGGGCAATTCGGCTAAAGGCCGCGAGGCTAGTTTCGGCCTTCGATTAAGCCTGATTAAACGGGATTAAGCCTGATTGAGCAGGATTGAATTGATTTGGGCAGGATTTTGGTTGAACCAGGGCGAGTTCTGAATTTGCCCCCCAGGAGTTGCGCCCGAACCACCTTCACCTATCGCCACCATCATGACGGGGACGTGGATGCCGAAGAAGGCGCAGTACGTCGCAGCGCATGAGGTGGCGAAGTACCCGTCGTTCTTAAAGAAAAAGGAATCTATGTAATCACGAACCACCGCCCGCACGTCGGATAATGAATGCTGGCGCCCTCGGACCACGGGGCAATCAGCGAGCGCCACGTTGACCTCCTCATACTTGAAGGGCACGCGGAAGTAGCAGTTATTCTGCGGATCAGGTTCAGCCTGGGCCATGCTCGCATCCCTGTAGCCGTCGTCGAAAACGAATCCCTGTGACGGGGGCTTATCTGTGTTCAGCTTGGCAGTGAACGCCTTCCGGATGTCCGACTTCGCCCCTCTGGCTGAATCCTGTTCGTAATAGACTGGAAGGTTCGACAAGATCTCGGCGAGCTTCGCTAAGCTATGGGCCATGTACTTTTTCCCTTTGGTCACCTTCAAATTCCGATCCCAGCTTAGCTTCGCCTGCTGTCGGCATTCGCCTGGGAATTCTACTAAAGAGGTACCGTGGTGGAAGGCCGTCGACATGGCTTGTCGAAGCGCATGGCCCACGTGGTCCCAGCACCAGACGAGCTCCTTTCCCGGGGCGAGCGAAAGGGGGCGGGGCACAAAAGTAGCCGCGAAGAAATGTTGGGTGCAATTTACTGAGCATGGCTTCCCCAGCGGAACCCCGTCGAAAAAAATCTTCGCGGCCACCTTTCCCCCGACCCCCCTTCGCCCGTCGCCGACCTCTGGCACGTCTTGGCATATCAAATACAACATGCCCTTTGCCATGTTCAAACCCGGCCGCATGTCGACAATCGAATATTTCCTGTTCTCCCACCAGCCTTTCGGCGTGATGGAGTGGTCATAGAAATACAATTCACCATCGTGGCTGCGATGCACCTCACCGTATCTCAATAAAACGAAAAAGAGTTTGTCGGTGAGGGTTATCTTGCCAGACGTAATGGCACCGTCCACCAACTCTTTGATGATGGCAAGTGCAGCCAGCAGATCTTCACGAGCAACACGCTTGGCCACCGTGGCCGGCAGGTCGTCGCTTGCGTTCGCCACCCAAGTGGCATCGGTAGGAAGAAGCGAAGCAACGTCCAGCAATTGCCCTTGCGCTCGAGACAGAAGCTGCGGGCCCTCCACAACGGGCTCCAGTCCCTGGCCAGCCTCGCCGACCCCGTCCTCGGCAAGGAGGCTACCCAGGCTGTCCGCCAATCTTGCTGCGGATGTGACTCTGTTCCGGATTCCGTCGTATTTGGAGCGCTTCGGGGGGGGGGCGGATCACCTCCGCCCCTGCATAATTGAGTTGCAACATCAGAACCATTCTGGCCGTCAGCGGCGGGCTCTTCCTTGACTGCGTTGGATGCCGATGCCCCTCGATACTCCTGGGTGGGAAGCTCCTCTTTGACATTGGCATCGCCCTTGCTCCCTCTCGAGGCGGAGGCCTCGCCCGCGCCCTTGCCCGAGCTGTAGCCGCCTCCGAGCGGGGAATCCAAGCTTCCATCGTCGTTCTCCGAGATGTCGGGCAACGCTGGGAACGATAGCAGGCTCGGGAGAATAAAGCCAGCCAACACAGATGAATGCGATAGCATCTTCAGAGCCTGATCCCGAGTGAGGTACACCTGCGCGCAACCGCTGTCCCATTCGGCACACGTGCTCATCACCTGGACGTGGGAGAAATGGTATTGGAAATGCATAATGTAGTCCCCGTTCAGCGTTGCTTCTTGGACAGGCAGAATGCGTGCTCCAAAAGGAGAAAGCAAGTTGTGTGCATCCCTGAAAGTCATGGGACCGTCCTTGTCAATCTGAACATCGTAGCCGGCTGCCTGCAGCGTCTCCGCGCAGCACGTCTCTCGAAACATGCGATCCTCTGAAGCTCTGGCAGCATAGGCGGTCGAGTTGAATACGAAAGCTGCATCCTCCAAACACATGTTGAACGTGAGCGTGGCGAGATGCCTCATGTACAAGACTGCAAGATGAAATTCGGAAACATCCGCGTTCGCTGGGCAGGCAGGAACGGAAGCACGAGGTTCGTCGCGGTCACCGCAAGAATCATCGCCGTCACCAAGATACTGAAAGAAGCTTGATGTGCCCTCAGAGATGTGCGACGGAAGTAAGTACGCGTAGGCTATGAAGTTCGACTCAACTGAGGAGTGCGAAAGAATCTGCAGCCCAACATCTCGCCTCAGCTTCACCTGGACGCAGCCGCAGTTCCACTCGGCGCAGTCGTCGCGGACGCGAACGTGCGTGGTCTGCTGGTGGAACGACATGATGTAGTTCCCGTCCAGCATCGCCTCGCGGACAGGGACGAGGTGCGCGCCGAACGGGCGCAGCAAGTCGTTGCAGTCCTGGAACGTCACAGGGCCGTTCCGCGACACCTGCACGCCGCTCTCGGCCGCCTGGAGCGCCTCGACGCAGGATGTGTTGTAGTATTATCGCCTGCCCTGGTGCTGGGCTGCATAGGACATGCCGTTGAAGATAAACATGGATTTGTCAGCGGTAATGCCGCACGCGAGCCTGGCGAGACTTTGCATGTACAGCACTCCCGCTTCAAATTCAGGTAATCTCTGATGCCCCGACTGAACGACGCCCACCCAAGCCTGCACGGCGGAATCCATCCTGCCCATGAGCGACAAGCTGTACTCCAATGGCAGACGAGGAAACTGAATCGTGCCTCGGCGAGAACGACACAATCGCATCAATCGTGCCTAATGGGTGATCGACGCATCGAAATCGCATCGCTAGTACTTCCCCTCCCCCGCGCCAACTGCAGGACTCGCTTCGGTTCGCTCATCGTGTCAGAGACGGCTCGCAATCGGTTCGAGCTCGAACCGCCTCTCCCCCCGAAAGGCGCGCACATAACCATGCCGCGAAGTCCGAGGCAGGCATGAAGACCGGAGACAACGGCACCATCTGCGAGTTCAGCGGCAAGTACCCGACATCAGAACCTCGGCGGCACAGGTCGCCGCACTGATAGATCACCCCTTGATCAGACGAAAATGGGATCTGGTTTAATCGATCATCACCGCATCGGGCAGTACATCGGGATAAGATCCGACCGGTTGTCTCTACACAAGCAGAAACGATTTCGACCTCAGATAGCATTCACGTGATCTGCTACAGATCGCGATCGGGAACGGAACCGACAGACCGAGCAACTGGCTAAGATCTGGGCGGGTATCGCCCGCGGACGCGGCGATCTCCACCACGTAGCCAGACGCCTGCTCCTCAGGCATCAGATGGACCACTGGAAGAGGGCGCTCCTCGACGGGGATTCTGTGATTTTCCAATGGTCCTCCAGTTACTGACCAGAAGTCCTCCTCCTCGAGCTCGCGAGGCGGCTCCTGGGTAGACTCCGCCGCGTGCACGGCGGCCTGCCGCTCGCTCGCGGAGTGCGAGCCGCGGTCTGTCTTGGACCTGCGAACAGCGGAGCGGCGCCAGGGGGGCGCGCGCGCGGGCTCGCAGAAGCCTGGCCTCGCGAAGTCTTTGACGACCGAGTCGAGGTTCTCGATGTCAGTAGGATTGTCGTATACCTGGTGCCTCGACACAGTGCGCCTCTGACGGCCGATTGGCGATCGGCGCGGCGCCCCCCCCTGCGCCGCGGGGGCTCTGGGTGCGACGCTGCCAGACCCCGTGGAATGAACCAGCACGTGCCAGGCCACCGCGGCGCGGGGCGGCACCTGCGAGTTGACGCTTTTTGTTTTGAAGGAAGAATTGCCAACTGGCATCTGCGCGTAGCCCCGCGCAGGAGTGAGCATGGAGTTGATGTGCGTCAACTCTTTCACCAGCCTCGAGTAGGAGGCCCTGGAGATCGGATAAGCACGACCGCTGGGGGTGCGTTCCTCGGGGCGCGGCGAGGCCTGGCCGGGCGCAAGCCCGCCCGCCATCGGGTCGTCGGCATCCCTGCCGCCCCGCGCAGGAACAGATGCGCTGCGCCGCGGGGGACGGGCGGCGTCCTCTGGCACGTCGAGGAACGTGTTCTTCACGATCAGCCGAGAAGTATCCTGCGAGAGTGCGCGCGACGGCGAGAAAGCGCGGACTGGCGCCATTTGGCGCTACCAGACTCGAGAGTCAGAGCTTGGCGTAGATGCGATTGCGGAGGGCGCGGTCTGAGCCAAAATCACCTAGAGACAGAGAGAGGGAGAGACAGGAGAGAGAGAGAGAGAGAGTGAGAGTGTGAGTGAGAGTGAGAGAGCGGGAGAACGGGAGAGCGGGAGAGCGGGCGGGAGAGCGGGAGAGCGAGAGAGCGGGAGAGCGGGAGAGCGGGAGAGCGGGAGAGCGGGAGAGCGGGAGAGCGGGAGCGCGAGAGAGAGAGAGCGGGAGAGCGGAGCGGGAGAGCGGGAGAGCGGGAGAGCGGGAGAGCGGGAGAGCGGGAGAGCGGGAGAGCGGGGAGAGCGGGGGAGAGCGGGAGAGCGGGAGAGCGGGAGAGCGGGAGAGCGGGAGAGCGGGAGAGCGGGAGAGCGGGGAGAGCGGAGAGAGCGGGAGAGAGGGAGAGCGGGAGAGCGGGAGCGGAGGGCGGGAGGGCGGAGAGGGGGGAGCGGGAGAGCGGGAGAGCGGCGGGAGAGCGGGAGAGCAGGGGGGCGGAGAGCGGGAGAGCAGGAGAGCGGGAGAGCGGGAGAGCGGGAGAGCGGGAGAGCGGGAGAGCAGGGGGGCGGCCGGGGCGGCCGGGGCGGCCGCTCTCCGCTTCTCCCGCTCTCCCGCTCTCCCGCTCTCCCGCTCTCCCGCTCTCCCGCTCTCCCGCTTCTCCCGCTCTCTCGCTCTCCCGCTCTCCCGCCCGCTCTCCCGCTCTCCCGCTCTCCCGCTCTCCCGCTCTCCCGCTCCCCGCTCCCGCTCTCCCGCTCTCCCGCTCTCCCTCCGCTCTCCCGCTCTCCGCCTCCCGCTCTCCCGCTCCTCTCCCGCTCCTCCCGCTCTTCCCTCTCCCGCTCTCTCCCGCTCTCCGCTCCCGCTCTCCCCGCTCTCCCGCTCTCCGCTCTCCCGCTCTCCCGCCCTCCCGCTCTCCCGTCTCCCGCTCTCCGCTCTCCCGCTCTCTCCCCGCTCTCCCGCTCTTCTCTCCCGCTCTCCCGCTCTCCCGCTCCCGCTCTCCCGCTCCCGCTCTTCCCGCTCTCCCGCTCTCCCGCTCTCCCGCTCTCCCGCTCTCCCGCTTCTCCCGCTCTCCCGCTCTCTTCCGCCCTCCCGTTTCCTCCCCGCTCTCCCGCTCTCCCGCTCTCCCGGCTCTGCACGCTCCCCCGCACTCCCGCTCTCCCGCTCTCCCGCTCTCCCGCTCTCCCGCTCTCCCGCTCTCCCGCTCTCCCGCTCTCCCGCTCTCCCGCTCTCTCCCGCTCTCCGCTCCCGCTCTCCCGCTCTCCCGCTCTCCCGCTCTCCCGCTCTCCCGCTCTCCCGCTCTCCCGCTCTCCCGCTCTCCCGCTCTCCCGCTCTCCCGCTCTCCCGCTCTCCCGCTCTCCCGCTCTCCCGCTCTCCCGCTCTCCCGCTCTCCCGCTCTCCCGCCTTCCCACTCCTCCCGAATTTCCACCTCTCCCGCCATCTCGCTCTCCCATCAGCGGCTGGAGAGCACGTCATCGAAAAAAGGTGGTTGAGGTAGATCTCAGAGGGGGGGGCTCCCATACATATACATATACATATAAATGTAAACATATAAACATAGGTACTAGAACAGCGCGCGCTACGCGCGGATCCAAACACCCTAATTCACCAGAAGGAGATGTGCCCGGAGCGTCGGCCGCCCTAAGTGCCCGGAGCACGGGCCGCCCTTGGCGCGTGGTGCCAGGCCGTCTGAGGGACAGCAGCGGGCTCGGGGGGGAGTCACAGAGTCCGTCGCCCTGCGGCGCGCTCCGCGCTCCGGGCGCTCGTGGAGACGCTGCTCGGAGCGAGAAACGCAGAAACGCAGAGTCCGTCGACCACTTTAATGTCATCAGGGCATGCGTGTTTCTTCCCCCCCCCTTTATCCCCTCCGACAGAAGAGGCAATTGCAGCGCACAGCGCCGCGCGAACTTTGCCCGCTCGACGACGGGATCCCCACCGTCAAACGGGCAATCGGTGACACTTTGCTTCAGATTCCCTGGTTGACAAGGGCCCCACTATCACATGGACAGTCGGGTACCCCGATGACCAATTTGACAACTGGATTCGCATTGTCAATTGGGCGCTCGGGGCTCAATTTCCCCGCCTCGGCTTAGTCCCCCCGCTTGCCCCGCTGATTGTGGTCCTCCGCGGTGCAAGCGGGCGATTCCCGCGCCTCGGCCTGTCCCCCCGATGGCCCATGAAACAGTGGGCCCCCGCTGTCAAATCGATAATCGGACTTCCTTGGCGGCCAAGACCTGGCCTCCAAGCAAGTCAGTTGACTTCTTTTTATACATGAACAAAAAAGAGAGGCCGGCCAGGTTAACGTCACCACACCATGTGAATATCACGTTTAGCTAGTTGACTATGGAGCCCCACTGTCAAATCCGCCAGCGACCTCCTCCCCCCCGCCGTGGCTGGGCCTGCACGTTTGCCAGCGGGGCCTTACCGTCAAATGCCAAGCCCCCCGAACGGCTGCCCATTTGGCAACGTGGCCCCTGGAGCTACATCCAGGCTGCAAAGGCCTCACGAAAGGCCACTGAAGACTCGCGCAAGAGCACCATGATGACCCCTCAGGAACTCCGTAACGACAGGGGGCCGACAGGGGGCCCCCTGCTAATATTGAACAGTCCAGGGGGTATCGAATTTGACAACCTATTTGCTCGGCCTCCCAAAGCTCGCGCCATACAACGCGTCTCTATGGCAATTTCCGCACCTCCTTTGGGTGCGCGGCCATCCCATCTGCATCGATGGCAAAATCATCGCGCCCCAGTTGGCACCGAAACCCCGAGTCCAAAACAACTGGATGCAGGCAGTGAGCCGTCAACCTGGCAACCGCCAGAAACCTCGTAGAGTTCGTCGCGCGTGCTTTATCCCTGGTGGCCAAAAGTCCTCGCCTCATCGACGCCTCACTGCCAAGGAGCCGCGCAGCGTCCCTCCGCCCATTTGGGGACGCCCCTCAAACATTCCGTAGCCCCACAGGTGGCTGGCTGGTCTGATTGGCGTCAATACCTATACAAAGTTTTGTACCTCGAGGCATCGCGACACGCTGGGACATAAGACACTTGGATTCACGCGGCTAAGAACACAACGGTTGCCAATATTTTGTGACTTCAATGACTTCATGACGACCTCAATGGGAGTCTCGGAAGAATCCTCTGGGAGCTCTGATGGGGCACTCTTGAGACCCTCTTGGGGCGTCTTGGGGCCCTCTCGGCTCGTCTTAGGCCCCTGAAGCCCCCTTGAGCCCTTTTTGGGAGAGTCTTTGGCCTGTCCTGGTCCTTCGTGGGGCTCTCTCGGGACCATCTTGGGAACCTTCTGGGTGCCTCTGAGTCCCGCGCGATCCTCTTGGACTCATCCCGAGCAGAAAAAAGTAACGATTACAAATAAGATTGCCACATTATTTAACTGATGATTGGTCGTCTGGAAACCCTTGGCGCTCTCGTCGGCGGTTTTAGGTGCGTATTAGAAGCCTCTTGGCGCTCTCTTGAACGCTGGTGGGGGCTTCTTAGGCCGCCTGGAGGCTCTCGTGGGCTCTCTTGGAGCTCTCTTGCCTCTCTCGGAAGCGTCCCAAAGCATCTCGAGGCCCTTCTGGGACATCCTTGGAAGCCCGGGAGGGAAGTATCGGAAGTTTGTCGCAGATGCCTGGCTGCGATTGAAGGTCCTCCTGGGTCGTCTTGATGACTGTCCGGCCGCTCTCGGGAACGATCTCGGGTCCCCGATGAGGGCGTGTTGGGGCTTCGTGGGGCCTCCTGCGCGCTTTGTGGGGGCGTCTTGGGGCCTTTTTGCGTCTCAAGCCTGGAGCCTTTTTAGCGCCGTCTGAGACACGTCCGAAACCCCAGAGGCCATCTTAGGTGTGACTCGGGGTAGTGGACCGCCTGACCGGCAGTCAGACCACTCTGGGAAGCGATTTTGGGCCGCCGCTGGGGGCGTCCTGGGGCGTCCTGGGGCCTCTTGGGCGCCTTTGGGGATCGTTGGGCCGTCTGGAATCCCCCTCTTTGAGCGTCTTGAGGCCATCTGACGCCGTCTTCGGCTCGAGCTAGATACATCATCATCGGCAACATCAGCATCACGAACGTCGTCACCATCACCGGAACCATAATCCTCCTCATAATCCTCGCCTCATCATCATCATCATCATCATCATCATCATCATCATCATCATCATCATCATAATCATCATCATCATCATCATCATCATCATCATCATCATCATCATCATCATCATCATCATCATCATCATCAGCATCATCATCAGCAGCAGCAGCAGCATCAGCATCAGCATCAGCATCATCATCACCATCAAAATCATCATCATCATCACCATCATCATCATCGTCATCGTCATCATCATCATCACCATCATCAAATCATCATCATCATCATCATCAACATCAACATCAACAGCAACATCAACATCAACATCAACACCACCATCATCAGCTTCATCAGCACCATCAGCAGCATCGCCGTCATCGCCGGCGTCGTTGTCGTCATCATCGTCATCACAATCAACAACATCATCATCATGATTACTATAATCATGCACCTCAGCATCATCATCAGCATCATCATCACATGATCATCATCATCGTCGTATCAGCATCAGCATCAGCAGCATCAGCACCATCATTACCCTCATCATCATCATCATCATCATCATCATCATCATCATCATCATCATCCTTATCATCTTCATCATCATGAGCATCATCGTCATCAGCATCATCATGATGATCACCATCATCATCCATATCATCATCAACATCATCGGATTCAGCCGTCTACTGCGGTCCCCTGGCCCTCCTCCTGTTCCCCGTGCTATCTCTTCCCATCATTTTCCCCTCCTCCTCCTCCACGACGCTGCCTCCTCGAAGACGATCCATGTTACTACTACTCCTCATCCTCCTCCTTCTCCTCCCTGTCCTCCTCGCTCTCGTCTATCTCCACTCCTTCTCTCCTTGCACCTCCTTCTGTTGATTCCCCCTATAAT